GGCTTTCCAGAGCCAGGTCTACAGATTGGTCTTGGCTGTGGAAACTGAAGCAGCCTTGGGACTCAGTTCAGTCTCTCTCTGCCATGGTCTAGGGACAGTTCTGTCAATTTAGGGACCCATCCAGGGATCAAGCAGCAACCGTCCAGGGACCCGGTGGGAGCCACACTTAAGATATGCCAGGAACCAAGCTTAGTGCTTTACATACAGCATCTCATTTAATAGTCCCAACAGCTCAGAGAGGAAGATTCTATTAATATCTATATCTTACAAATGAGGAAGTTGAAAGTCAGGAAGATAAATTACATGCCCAAAATAGCCAACTGGCAAGGAATGAAGCTGGTGTCTGAATCAAAGTCTGACTCTAGCGCCCACGTCCTTAATCCGTGTGCTATCATTAACATCCAGCTTGGCCATGACCAGCCCAGTCCATCCTTACCTCTCCATTCCATTCCATCTCCTGGACATCTCCACTGAGGCTCTAAAGAGGTCTTCTGGGCTTGCATGCCTCTACCTCTCAGGCTCCCATTCTGGAGGTTCTTGAAGTCAGGGACCTGGCCTTACACATTTCTCTCCTACCCTGAGCCAAGAAAAGAGACACGCACAGAGTGTATGATGTTGATTTGTTTGGTTGCTCATGATGCTAACTTCGATTACTTGAGTTAGGTGGTATCGGCAAGTGCTTGTTGATTATTTTCATAGAGATTGTACCACGGAGGGAAGGAGGAACCTGGGATTTGGGATTTAGTTTGGGGAGTTAAGGTTTTAAACTATGAGTGAATGCTATGAGTCTCATCATCACTGAATTATGGAAGACAATAAGGAAAGAAGGAAGAAAGGAAGGGAGGGAGGATGGGAAGAAGGAGGGGAGGAGAAGGGAGGGGCCCCAAGCTCTGCTCAGGATGGGTGGGTTAACGAAAGGCCTAGGGGTAACCCCGTCTTGGGAGTAGGATACTACACTACTGAGATGGAGTAAACCCTAGCATAGAACATTTAACCAAAACTCAGAGGAGAAATCTCAAAAATCCCTACTGTAGCTAGAGATGGGAAGCCAAAAAAGAACTCAAGGATGGAATTTAAAAACCGTTGTTTAGCAACCATTAAATACTCATTGATTCTGGCCAGAATGATCAGCGACTGTTAAAAAACTAATGAGTAAGATTTTGAGAAGTAGTAGGATATTGACGGAGTCTCAAAGTGTCTCCCCTGCTGCAGTAGCTTAACTGGTCTCCCTGCTTCCACATCGCCCCCTAGAGTCTGTTCTTAACATGGCAGCCAGGCTCATCCCTTTCCAACGGAGGTCAGGTGACGTCATCGCGCTGCTCAAGCCCCTTCTGTGGCTCCTAAATTCACGCAGAATAAAAAGCAAAGTCCTTGCAGTGACCACAGGGCTCGCCGTAATCTGTGTCCACACGACCTTTCTGACCTCATCTCCCCTGGGCTCCTGACCATTCATTCACACCAGCCTCAAAGACCCACAGTGCACTGACCTCAGGCCTTTAGCCCTGGAGATTCCCTTGGCTTGGACAGCTCTCCCCATGGATTGTCACATGGCTCATGTCTTCCTTCCTTCAGCTCACCACTTGCATGATACTTATGAATGACCTTCCCTGAATACCCTCTGCAAAGTAGCCACCCCACCTCTACCTATCCCCTGGGGTCACCAGCCCTCTTACCCAGCTTAATAGTTCCCATCACCTTTCCACAACCTGATGTGTAACACATGTGTTGGTTCATTCATTCATTGACTAGACCCCCAACACACACACTCCTCCTTGATATTCTACCACCTAGAACAAAACACATAGTAGGAGCTCAATAAATGTTCATCAAACAAATGAATGCCTCTGTTTGCGCTGTTCCTTTACTGGTCAGACCCTGATATTTTAAGCTCCAGCTCACCCCTGCGTAGCTTCCCTCCCATCCTTAAGCTGCATTTCCTTCAGAGCAGAAGTTTTGTCTGTCTCCACACGGGTGTTGCCCTCCACGGCTCTGTGGACAGGAGATGGGGTTCGAAGAGCCAGCAAAGCAGCTTACTGCTGGTGATGGGAGAAGGTGAAAGCAAAGGAACCCTGCCTGGAGCAGTCCTGGGAGGGGCCCAAGGGGGACAGTCCCATCTAGACCCCGTGGTTTACCTGATTCCTGGCCCTGGATTCTTCCTCCGAGGCCAAACCAGGAATGGCCGTGGTCTGACCACTGAACCTGGATCCCATCGAAACCTGAAAAGGGGAAGAGGAGCCAGTCCAGAGCCCCCTCCTTCTTTCTGATTCCCCCTGCTCAGCAGCCAAAGACCTTCAGAGTCCCCGACCTCCAGCAGCCACTTGGCTGCTAACGTTGATCATAGAAAGATCCCAGGCCAGGGGCTGATAACCCCCCAGCAGATTTCTCACCTGACCCACTGCACCCCTCAGTCCTCCTTCCCAGCAGATTCTTCCGGTTCCTTCCCAGGGTCCTCATTTCCACCCTGGTTTTCCTCACTTCCTTTTCCCCATAAAGCCCCTTGAAAAAGCCCCACCCCATCTTAAGGTTCTGGTGCAGGGCCTGCAGTTCCCCGTCTCCCTCGAACCCCCGGCGCAGGTTGGCCCTGTGTATCCTTCTCACTCAGTAAAACCACCAGGTCTGATATTGCGCTGTTGGCACTTCATATCTTGAGTGAAATCAGGAGCAGCAAATTTGCCTGCCAGCTCCAATGAATGGGTAGCTGGTGGCAGCTGCCTGGAGCCCTGAGTTGAAGGTTCTGTGGCCACATATAGGCTCATGAAAGGAGCAGCATGAGGGGCAACATTTTGCAGTGAGGGCGCTGCTGGTGGAAGGAATGCTGGCAGGCATGCAAAAGACAGACCTCTGTTGGACATGCCCAGCATGCTCGCTCAGAATTCGAACCTGGGCAAACCGGAGGAGGTGGAAGCCACACATTTAGTCCCTAACAACTCTACCCAGCCCATCTCTGGCTCTTTGTTTCTGCCTAGAAAGGCTGGGAAGACCCAAGCATGGACAGGGTAGAAATAAGAAAAGGGGAAGTTAGAAGGAAAGCTCTGAGCACCGCCACCCCCACCCAGGAGACTCATTCAATGTGTACCCCCAGCGGGGGGAGGGGGAAGCCCAGACCTAGCTCTTGGCCTGGGGCCGGGACCCACAAGAGGATAAGAAAGATAAGACTGGCCAAACACCAAGCCACAGACCTCTTCTATCTCCAGACAATCACACTCGATCTGCCCTGATCTCTCACAGTCCACAGTGAGTGGAGTAACAGGAGGCAGAAAGGCTGTCCCAGGGGACCAGAGTCACTGCCAGCACCTGTGTCCCAAAGGCTAAGCCCACACTCCACGTATGAAAGTGAGAAATCACAGGCGGGGGAGCAAGCGTGGGGCTCTGGCCTCAGGTGACTCAGGCTCAGATCTAGGCCTGCAGAGGGTGGAAAGCAACCTAAATTGTCTCAGTGCAAATGCGGTTAAATAAATTCTGGACATCCAAACAATGGGCTACTCTACAGCCAAAGCAAAGACTGAAGAAATTATTTACCCTTTACTATAGAGTGATCCTCACGATGATATGTTAAGTGAAGAAAGCAAGATACAGCACAATGTGCATAGCGTATGATTCATGTGAAAAGGCAGGATAGATGAGAATTGTACGCCTAGGCAGATAGAGATAGAGATAGAGAGGGAGGGGTAAGGAGGAGAGGGAGGGGAGTGGGGAAGGGGAGAGAAGGAAAGACAGGTGTAGAATAAGGGAATGGAGAGCAGTGACGTATATAGAGGAACAGAGAGTGGAAACTGAGAGAAAGAGATAGAGAAGATTAAGAAGGTAAAGAGAGAGGGCTGCCCAGGTGGGATCACAGTTGGGGCCTGGCCTGGACAGGGCTGCCTGGGGCTGCCGTTACCTGAGGGGGCCTCGTGCCAAATAGCCAGAGGTATCGGGGGCGAGGTTTGCACCAGTACCTACAGCCACAGAAACGTTCCTTGCTCTAGGCTGACACTCTGGGCTTTCCTCAGCCCGAGCCTCAGAAGGTCAGGAAACAGCAAGCGTGCAGCCTGCTCTCTTGACCGTCTCAAGTAAAGCTGCATAGTGGTGCCCGGTTACCAGAGTTCTAACTTCTGTTGGGGAGGAGGTCTGTCACCAAGGAAGTGACGTTGCCTCTCACGGTTCCATTAATTACCTGGGTCCCTTTTTCCAGTCAGAGCCACCCATTGGTTGGAAAGGGGGCCAGATAGAGGGAGAGGGGAGGGACCAGGAGGGAGAAGGATAGAGAAAGGGAAGGAGGGGGCAAAGAGAAAAAAGGAAGAGAGTGAGTGAGAGAGAAGAGGGGGAAATAGAGGAGATACAGAGAGAGATAGAGTAAGGGATAGAGCGGGGAAGGAAAGAGGAAAAGAGAGAAGGAAGAGTGGGAAGCTGGACAGAGAGCTGGACCTCTCTCTGAAAGGCCTGGATCTGACTGACCTTGGCCGCATCCACAGAAAATCACTGGGTGGCTGCGGTTAGAGGGAGTCACGGGTGGCAGACGCCTTCCATTTTTACCTTTTACATTTTGATCCATATGAATACATTGTTTACACCAAACAGTGGTTTGACTTAAAACAATAACAAAGGACCCCAGCTTTGCCGCCTTCCTTCTCCATGGCCGCAAGCTAGTCACTTGGTCTGTATGAGTCCCGGTCTGTAACAGGGGGCTGTCATCCACCACTGTGGGTCGTCTTGTGGATCCAGACCTGGCTGGGCAGCCCACCCGCCCTGCGTCTGGCGCACGGCACGCGCTGCTGCCATTATCAGGACTCCCAGCGATGAATCGGAGCGACCTAGAAGCATTCCGTCATCCTGGGAGAGTAACCACCCACCACCCATGAGATCAGCCCTGAAAATATGCTCGTGGTTTCAGAGTTGATCCCTCCCTGGGCTTTGTGCCTGCATGATCTGGCCACTCCTCCGTCCCATCCCAACCCAACCCAGAGTCAGGGGAGGCAGGGACACAATGATAGGAATGGAGGTCATGGCCCCACTGGTGCTGGAAGTGGTCATTTTATTGGTTGGAAAATGAAACTGTGGCCAGCATGGGAGGGTGCGCAGAGGCCAGAAAAAGGGGAGGGCGGCTGGGCTGAAGCCAGACAGGACTGGGCCGGAGCCAGGCAGGGCCAGGCAGAAACTCCCACTCCCTCATTCCTCAGGCTGTGGTGGCTGAAACTGGATGGAGAAAATCACAATAAAACCATCAACAACAATATCCTAGACAAGAGCACCTGCTGCTTACCGGTAAATTCTGGATCAAAGCTTCCCCCACTCCGTCATATGCCCCAAGACACACCTATACACACAAACACACACGTTACCTTCTTGAGGCCCTGGGGCTCTGCCTGTACTTCTCTGCAAGCCACTCACCTCTTCTGCTTCAGACTAGTCCTAGTGGCCACCCCATGGTCCCAACCGGCCATGTGGCCTTCCCAGGGAGCCACGGCCATTTATCTCCCTAGGAGTCCCTCTGCTACCAGGAAGTTCCACCATGCCTCTGTTCTTTAGGTTAAACTGGGATTATCTAATCAAAGAAATTTTATTTATCTCATTTTATAAGTAAAATATTTGCATCTCAGGGAGGTAAAAGGTTAGGCAAGTGTCAGAGCGGAAATTCGAACCTGTGTCTTCCTGACTGAAAACGCCCGGCCATGCTGTTGGCACTCGTGGACGTAAGACGGGGTTGGAATCATGGGAGAGCCCTGGGGAAAAGGCAGTTCCCTCCCAGGCACTGAAGTTGTGCCTCGAAATAGGAGCTTTGGGCTCTCGTCCTCCCCTCTCTCTGGGCTTCAGTCCTATCCATGCAAACTGGGTTCCTTTATGACCTGCCAGTCCCTTGGCTGAGGACTTGTCAAAAACAGCAGATCAACAATGAGACTGCAACCAAAGGGCACTTCCAGGTTCTTGTTCATTCTGTTTTCTCTGCAGCACTGACTGTCCATCCATCTGTCCGCTGCAGTCACCGGCTGCCAGCTCTGTGAGGACGGGCAGCAATCACCTTGGGTCCCAGCACCGGCACAGAACTGGTGGCACAGCACTGGGTCACCCAATGGGCCAGCTGAGCATGTAGTCGGGTCTTGTTCTCCTCTATTTCCTTACGCTCTCTTTAGGACTTCATACTGGTTTATTTTTAATTATAGGCAGGGACAGAGACTCCACAGTCCTTTCCTTTTAGTGTCAGACTAGAGGGGGCCACATACAACCCCAGCCTGCTACAGCATAAGTGCTCAACACACGTCGGACACACATCTGAGGGAGTGAGCTGAAGTTCACTGATCTCTACCATGTTCATCCTGAAAAGCCAAGCTTCTTGGCTAAAGTAAAGATCAACTCTTCTGCCTCCCACTGGCCATGCCGAGCTTCCTACCTCCCCCGGGGCCCTCCAGCCCCTGTTCCCTCTCCCAGGTCCCAGCCGCCCCTCCTGCTGATGACTTACATCAGTGCTGCGGCATTAAGGACATGAAAGGGTAAATCTCTCTTTCCCCCACAGCGCAATTCATCATCTACCTTCACCTACGTCCCAAACCCAACCGCTTCCACCTCTGGTCACCCTCTCACCTGGCCTCTTGCGGGGGGGCCTCCTGGCTGGCTTCCCTGCTTTTGCTGCTGCCCCTGTGGTCTGCTCTCCACACAGCGGCCAGAGCAAGCCTTTTCAAATCTAAGTCAGAGCACGTCCATTTCCAGGGGCACAGTGTGTCTGGCTCAAGACCAAAGTCCTTACAATGGCCTGTCAGGCCCCTAACAAGCTGCTCGCTCACCCACTTCTCTCCGGCCTCCTCGTCTTACTGGCTCCAGCCTCCGGCTTTTTCTGAAGCGCACCAGGAGGCTCCTGCCTTGGCACCTGCCACAACACTCTCCCAGCTGTCCTCAGGGGTCCCCCCGTCACTGCCAGTGCCCCATGTGGACGAGCTCTGGCTGGCCCGTGGGTAAGACCCGGCACCACTACTCCCGGCCACCCCCCCACCCCCATGCTCCTCACCCTCTTTGGTTTCCTTTTTCTCCATGACACTTCTCTCTCTCTGACATTCTACAGAAGGTGCCTCTTAATTTGTTTATTGTTTCCTGGCCAGAAACCCCATCAGAGAGAAATTTCTGATTTGTTCCCTCATGAAGTATCCCCAGCACCCACAGCAGAGCATGGCATGTGATAGATGCTCAAGAAATGTCTGTCTGTGGATGAAAGTAAATAAACGAATGGATCGGTGAACAGCAGGGTGCTGGCCCAGCCTCTCCTTCTCAACCGCCGGCAGGCAGGTGTCCTCACATCTGGGCCTCAGGGCACTTCCTTCCCACCAGCCACCTACCTCAGAAGACAGGCGTGACGCAGGACACCTTCCCGCAACCATTGCGGCAGCATTTCATCAGGTCGGGACACTGGCTGTCCACCTGGCACTGGTCCCGGCAGAGGCCAAGCGGAGTCAAGGGAAGGTCCACCTTGGGGCAGGAGCCCGGCTTTTCTACAGAGAAAATGGAGTCAGGGGAAGCTGGTGGAGGGCAATGCCTGAGAAGAACTTTAATCCACAGCCTGCCCTCCCAGCGCCCCCCGCCCCCCCACTGGGAGATCCTGGCAAACCCCCCTCCCTCAGGCTCCCTCCAGCGTTGGGTGTTGGGTGTAGGATCACGGGACCTCAGTTTGAGCACCAGCTCTGCCTTTTCCTAACTTCGTGGCCCGGGGCCAGAAACCCACCGGGCCGCTGTATTTAGGTGCTGCAGGAGAACGGCGCCGTCCTCATTATGCGGTGGTTGTAAAGGTAACAGAGCCAATATACCTGTATTAATGCTCCCTGAAAAATTATACTCCTCTGCAATAATAACAACGAGTGATTACAACAGTTCGCATTTACTTAGCTCTTTCTCTGTGTCATTCTAAGCACTCAATGCGTATTACCTTGTGTATTAACTCACCTCATCCTCACAATAGCCCTAAAAGAGGGGGAGAGGTACGGTTACTATTTCCTCATGTGACAGATGAGGACACTGAGGCACAAGAGGTTAGGTAATTTGCTTAAGGTCACAGAGGGCAGAGGCAGGATTTGAAAGCTGGGAGTCTGGCTTCAGAGGCTACGCCACGTGCTCTGCTGCTTTCTAAGCTGTAACGTGGGGTGCATGTGTGAGGGGTTACACACCCGCTGTCCCTTTACTCACTCCCATGTACTCCCATTGACAAGCGCAGAGCACCACGGCCCCTCCTTCCATGCGCAGACCAGCATTCGTCCACTGACTCACACACGCAGCTAAGGCTGCAGGGCTGTGCCACTTAACAATGCTCTTTGTGTAAACCCGTGACCTCCTTTAATCCTCACAACAAATATCCTCTCTGTAGGGGCTATTTCTAACCCTGTTCCCATCACAGACAAGGGAAATGAGGCACAGGGATGCGAAGGCATCACCCAGCACCACACTGCTGGTCAAAAGGAAAACTTAGACCTGAGCCCAGCCTTCCAACATCTGTCCTCCGCACCCCTCACTCACACACACACACACACACACACACACAGCCCCGCTCCACTTCCTGGGTCAAGGAGAAGGGCACTCGGCTCGCTTCCCAGAAGCCCCAGGAGCAAGCCCAGCCAATGTCAAACACAGGCACAGAACTGGGTGGCGAGCTGCAGAGGGCAGGAGCGGCTGACTTCCTAGCACAAAGAGATCCATTCCTTTGAAGAAGGCAGGGGCCCTGGATGCCCAGCTGCCCGGCGGTTTACTGATAAAACAAGGCGCTGTGTATAGTGTATCTACTCTCCACTAAGATGTTTTACATGTATTATCATATTTAGCCCTCCTGTCGCTCCTATACAGTTTGAGTGAGATGAGAAAACAGAGGCTCAGAGAGGTAAAGCGACTGCTCAGGATCACATGATTAGCAGGTGACAGAACCAGGAGAACCAGGATTCTCCTTCAGGAGGCCATCCAGCCCTGCCCGCTTCCTGCCTCAGTCTGTCCATCTGAGACAAGGGCACAGCAAAGACTCCACCTAACAGTGGCGCTCCTTTTTTTTTGGAGGGTGGGGGAGCCTGTCCACCTCTCTCAATTGTCTGTCTGTCGGGCTCTTGCTTTCCCTCCTGGCCTCCACCTCTCCTTCTGCTCCTCCTCTCTCTGGTCCAGCTTAGAGGCCTCCAGACTCAGAAGCTGCCTCGGTGGGCCAGTCCTTTCTCTGCCTCCCCCGTCTCTGATCCTAAGTGTCTGTGGTCTCTAATCACAAACCTTCCCAGCCCCTGCTGGCATCCTTGGAGAAGCAACAAAGAGGGAAAATCACAGGGGCTATATTCTGGAGAAGGACCAGTAATCACCATATGTAGGTACCCAGGTCATAGACCTGCTTCTAGTCCTCAGTTTTTCCCTGTGAAAAACAAGGAGCTGGGATTCCATGCTGTCTAATGCCACTCTCTGCTCCGATGGGGGTCCCAGAGCTCTGGTGGAGGGACTTGAGCTCTCTCAAGTACTTTTTATGGTGCACCTGAGCTTTCTCACACATTCTCTCGCTCAATCCGTAGAGTGGAAGAGGTTGTTTGAAAGATGAGGAAGGGAGGGGCGTGCTCAGGGAAGAGTCCTGACTGTCATCAAGCCAAGGGGACAAAAGTTGAACCTCTGGCCACGACTCTTGGTTGAGTCAAGCACTGGAGGTATGATCTTGGGCAAGCGCTTTTCCCGGTCCTTGATCTGTACGACTGCCTCCAGTCTGCATAGAGTAATTCGGCCAGTCCTGCCAGGCCAGGAATCCCAAAAGCCTTCCCCTGGGGCTGGCGGAGGCCCCAGGCCATGGGACCCGGCTCCCTTGCCAGCTCTGGGCTTCCCTGCGGCTCCACCCGCTGGGTGAGTAAACTTCGGAACGCGGTCCCCTAACCTGCCAGAACAACGTCCCTGTTGTGCGTGCCGGAAGCCCGTCACGCACCAGAGAATGGGATACAGGTTGGGAATGGGGGGGGGGAAAGGGGGGCGGCCTCCCCGACCTCCCGCTGCGGCTGAGCGACGCCTTTGTCTCCCCAGGACCAGGCGAGCTCGGACCGATCTGGTTCCATCCGCCTGGACTTTGCCAGGGGTCCCCGGGTCCCGGAGCGTCCCTCTTCCTGCAACGCCGGGGCTCGCGCCTCCTCCCTGCGCCCCGCCCCGCCCCCGCGCTGGTCGCCCGGGAGTCACCATCGGGCATTTGGCAGACGGTGGCGCAGCCGGCGCGGCAGCACTTGAGGTTGTCCGCGCATTCTCCATCGGAGCCGCACTCCTGCGTGCAGTTCAGGTCCTCCTTCAGTTCGGGGCACACGCCCGTTTTCTCTGCTTCCGTGCCTGCAAGGGGAGGCGGGGGACGGTCAGCGGGAGCTCGGGCGCCTGGCCCAGCGGATGGCCACCTCCCCCTCCGAGGATCCCAAATCTCAACCTTAAAGGAATTCTCAGCCTGGCCCTAGGCGCCCCCTTACAGCCTTCAGCGGACCCCACTTGCAGGCCAGGGGAGCACAGGAGTTACCTGACCCTTGGTCCCAGAGCCCTCTAGGCTCGGGGGACTCCCCCGCACAGCTGACCGTCTGGGAGCTACCGATGTCTGGGCAGAGGGTCCCTCTTCCGGACGCAGTCTCCGCCTTCAGCACAAAGCCTCTCCCCTCAAATTTCAGCCTGCAGTGGTTTCACCGCCCCCAGACCTTTGGACCCCACACCCTAAACTCCCACGGTCACCACCTTAGGCACCAGGGACCCCCATAGTTTCGTCTCCCTGGGTCTCCGCACTTCCGCCCCATAAATCCCACCCCTGCAGCCCGCAGAGAGGCTACGCCTCTGCCTGGCTCCCTCCGGGCGTTCCCGGCCCGGCCCTCCCGGCGCCCAGCCTCTCCCCGCGCCACGCACCTGTGACCTGGTGGCAGCCGAGCAGCACCAGGCCCAGGAGGAGGGGGGCGACGAGCGGACTGAGGCGACAGGCAGTCATGGTGCTGCGCCCGGCGGGTGCAGGTGAGAGGAGCCGCTGTCGGGATGGGGGGATTTAACCCGACGCGCGGGCCGTGGGGTAGGGGCGGGGCCGAGCCGGGGGTGGGGGGACGGGTAGACTGCACCACGGGCGGGCGGGCGGCCACCTCCCGCCGTTTCACAATCCCCTGGGATCAGGTGTCACTCTTGGCGCAGTGGGAACCAGGAACCTAATCAGCTTCCAGGCAGGCGCAGCCCGGACCCTTGTCCACTTCCCCTTCCCCTCCCTCCTGGGGCCCGAGGGCTGGGCCTCGGGACTAGAGGGTCAGGCCCAGGGCTCCTAGGTTCCCATTCCAGAACTCTGGGGTCTCCCCTTAATGCCTAGGGTCGGAGGAGGAGGGGGAAAGGGCAGGACCCACAGGGAGGCTAGGAAGCCCGGGGATTAAGTGGTTGGATTTGGGGTCAGCCAGATCAGAAAGGATCCCTCTTTAGGGATTAGTGATGGGGGTCTAGTGTAGGGGTATAGAGCACATAGTAACCGCTACAAAAAAAAAAAAAAAAAAAAAAAAGGCAGTTATGAATAAATGAACACATTTGAGACAAGAAACTAAGGCCCATAAAGGTGAAACTCCTATCAACAGTCTCCCGCCGTTTGTGTTTCTTCCCCTTTCCACACCAGCCGTCTGTCAGGGCTGACTGTGTGCCAGTCTCCATGCTCAGTCTGCTGTAGTCTCAGGGATTTTCCCAGCAAACCTATGAATAGAGTTATTATTATCATCAGCTCAATATGACAGACGAACTGGACGATGGGAGGTTTAGACCCCTGCCCAGCAAGCTCCTACATAGTGCTGCAGGTCCAAAACTTTGAACCCAGGTCTCCTTCTCTCTAAGCCCCCATTTTTCCGTTCCATCATAAATATTCTCTAGGTGCCCACTGTGTGATGCCTATCGGGCAAGGCTCTTGGTTTAGAAAAAATAATCAAAGGGAACTTCCAGCCCTGGTCTTGAGGTGACAGGGGATGCGGGGTTTGATGACCTCAGCCACTTTCCAGCGGAGGGGCCTTGAATGAATCACTTCCTTGTTCTGAGCTGTCATTTTGTCATCTACAAAGAAGACAATAATATCAAAATTCAGCGAGAACGCAAATGTAATGTTCCTGACATGGAATAGCTCATTGGGGCTACTCATTGGAGGCTGGGTCCACCCGATGGGCATAGGAGCCCAGTCCTGATACGTGACAAATAAATGCTGTCTACTATTACTAAGGACGCTGATACGTATGTACCAAGTTTTACAATCCAGGCTGGCAAATGCCAAGACAGAGTTACCCAGGGAGTTAGACAAGAAGTGCCTTCCAGTACCCTTCCTGCTCCAGCACTCTGCCATTCTCTACGTCCCAGGAGGTCCTTGCTGCTGAAGGCTATCGGGGGCCTGGGGCAGCGCCCACTGGGATGACAGGTGAGTAGGGCTCACCGCCAGCCACTGTCCCCACAGATGGGTAAGGCTGAGAACGCCTCCCCCAACGTCCCATGCCCAGCCTGGGGAACAGAGCTGGGCCTTCCCTGGGAGGGGCCTGGACTGTTGACTGAGCTCAGAGAAGTCAACAACGATGGAGCGGGAGCCAGGTGGGGGAGCTCCTGAAACGCAGTCAAGGGCACGAGGGCACGCAGAGGACTCTTTGGTGAGCAGCCGGTTTTAGCCTGTGGATCTAGCTGGCTACTGGATTTTCAGCCTTAGGCATTGCTGCCCACAGCTTTCTTCCGGGAAGGCCCGGCTCCTCAGGCCAGGAAACTGCCCAGCCTCGCCACTCCCTGGCCCTCTTGGGGCTCCCCTGATGATAGGCATTCCTTTACAGGAATGAGGATTAGCCTGAGGCTGAGTATGTGGGGTGGGGCAGAGGATGGAGAAGAAAGTTTCACCGGTCAGGGGCCCATGGAAACCAAAAGATGCTTTGCTTCTGTGATGCTAATCTCTGCGCTAGGGACACTCCTGTATTTCCTCTTCTACATAAAAAGGGCAGAGGCTTTGGAACCACATACATTCAGATTCAAATCCTGGCTATTGACTTAGAGCAACCCTTCGCTCTTTGGACTTACATCTTCTTACATAAAAGAGGTATCGTCATAATTGTGTTGTAGGATTATTTTAAGGATTAAAGGGGGAAAAAAAGCATAAACCAGAGGTTGCAAATCTGGCTCAAACATGTCTATTGTTAGCCCACACAGTATATTTTTAAAATTTGAATTTGTCGCCAACGTTTGAAAGTAGGGGAATTCACATAAAAATGAATGTCTAGCTTCTCTTAGAAAAAGTAAAAGATCAGGCGACACAGTCCTGCAGGCTTACGTAGCAATAAGTGGGTCTCAGATCATTTGGAGAGCTTGTTAAAACGCAGGTTTGGAGATCTCGACCCCCAGAGTTTTGAGTCAGTAGGTCTGGGATGTGAGGACTAGAATGAAGAAATAAAATGGAGTCACTATAGTCAAGCTGTTAGATTACTAAAATTAAGTAGGTTGAGATACAAAAAAACTATTCTATTCCTGCTTTAACAAGCTTGGGAACTTAAACTTTTGAACTTTCAGTCCCGCGCCAAGGCCTGGATCTATATAAAACCCCCAGCAGCCGTCTGATTACCTTCTGAAGGACTCATGTACCCAGACCACCTGACATCCATTGTCCAGCTCGCTGGACATGACCGGACCCCTGCCACTCACCCTCCCGACCACCTGGCATCTGATAACTATCCTGAATCACTCAAAGAAGGGAGGACTGATTATTCTCAAGACTGTACTTTTTACTGTAAGAACTCTTGTCTTTCATCTTTGGAACACTTCAGAGTCTTTTCCTAATTTTGTTTTCAGTTTGCAAACCCTAAGACTCTTAATAAACCTTTATTGTTTATTTCTAGCAAAGCCTCCAGACTCTTTTTTGAGTCCGACAGGTGGGACCTGAGAACTTGCATTTCAACCAGTTTCCCGGTGATGGTCAAGTGTCCCTCTCTGACCATACTTTGAAAACCATTAACTACAGTTAAGCAGACCTGCTCTCATTTTATGAGGGGAGAATTCTCTCCACTTTCCTGTAATCTCCGCCCTTCCTTATTGTCTCCCAGGCCTTCACCTCCACGCTAAGTACTTCCGTTCACACTACTTGCCTGGCCTGGAGGACATTTAAAATTGTGACCTCCAGGGTAGTTATATAGTTAGTGTTCAGTAAAAATGTAGCGAGCATTTACTTAACAATCTTATGAATTAAGTATTATTATTCACGCATTACAAATAAAGAAACAAATTCAGCTGCTCAAAGTGACCCACTGGAGGAAACACAGCCAGTAAACCAGAAGGAAGACACTTGCCAACAGCTTTTAGTCATGTGGTCCCTGTGATTTCAATGTTACGCACATACACACACACATCTGAGGCTGGCACAGATGATGCATTAAAAGCTTTGGACATGACTCTGTGAGCATAAAATAATATTTATCAGAGAAGAAAAGGAAGAAAGGGAATAGGAAAGAAGGAAAGGTTTACAATGGGAGGTGATATTAGTCAGATGTAGACACACCCATGCTAAAATGTCTATAAACAGGTTACCCTTGAAGATTTCAGAAAGTCCCAGGAGCAAACAGGGTGTCTTTAACCACACAATGGGACCTTATCCCCTTGGACCATTGGACCCACACAAACTTCCTTCACTGCAACGGAAAACTCTCCAAGTATATTGTCTATTTTGTTGTTTTGTGACCTAGCATTCGTTTGTTCTTTTCCTGATAACAGGTACTCTGAGTTTGCTTTGGGGGAATGGCTCGCCTTTTACTCAGGACAGGTGAGTCAAGGGGCCTGCTGATTAAAAAAAAAAAAAAAAAAAAAAAAAAAGCCTGCCCTCCTGCCAGACAAAGAGCGGCTCTCCCCGGAATTTTAACCTTGAGCAATGAGTGACGAAAGACCTGAAAATGAATGGCGCTCATTCAGAGGGGCTCTGGGAAGACCTCAGTTTTGTCTTGTTTGCCATTCTTTTCAAGCTGGATTCTTTTAACTACCCGCCCCCCGCCCCCCAGTTCCACTGGTTGCAAGATAAAGAATCCAACAGGGGCACACTTTAGCCTACCGTTAGGAATGGAGAAGAGATGCCCACTACATTCCCACACCATTCTCACGAATTCCTCCTCTGCTTAGAATAGCCAGAGTTAGTTTCTGTTGCTAGGAGCCAGTGAGACCCAACCGCCTATACTCAGAACATCACCAAGTTTCTCATTTCCAAATCCAATGGCATTTTCTCAACCCATGGCCCCCCTCCTCCGCTAACTTGTAGTTAAGGCTCATGACATCAATATTGTACAAACCAAATTCTTTGTACAATTTTTTTCCCCACATTGTCTCAGTGCAAAAAAAAAAAAAAAGAAAGAAAGAAAGAAAGAAAGAAAAAGAAAAAGAAAAACCATGAAAAGCAGAGCTTCCCTGTTTGAAGTACCCAAGTCCCCTTTCATGATCCCCGGGGTCTTTGAGGGCACAGCTTTCAAACCTTTTTCAGAGGACAGTCTTTGGAGTCACAGGACCTTGAATTTGAATCCTTAAAAACCATTATTGGTTTTGTGACCTTGGAGAAGAAATGAAACCTCTGAACTTCAGCTTTTTTTTTTTTTGTCTTTAAAATGAGCAAGATTTCAAGATGGAGGTATATGTGCAATGCTTGCCACATAATACATGTGCAATGAATGGTACTGGGTATTATTCCATTTTATTCTACCACTGTCAGAGATCACCTCTCTCAGAGTTACTCAGAGACTTGAACTCATTCTGCCACTTCTGCCCCCTGAGGTACCCAGCCATTCCCATACCTCCTACGAGTCTCAGTTTCCCACATGTAAAATGGGATGATGACACCTTCCCTGTGGGCTCCTGTGAAGGGCTATGCGCAATTACAAATGTAAAGCACTAGGAAAGTGCCTGGCACATAGTAGGTGGCCAGGACACATTGATTTCCAACCCCCAACCTCTCCTCAGTCAATGACTCTAGGGCTTTTTCCGTTCTTATTTTGGTCTTTTTTGTCTTCAGTCGTTGGCTTTGCACATTGCCTGGGATAGAGCATTGC